CTATTGCCTGGCAACGCAATCGCACAACGTCACGTCCGTTAATTCCACATCCACACGCATGGATTAACATTGATTTAATACATTAATGTAGCCTTTGTTTCTGCTAAAAGAGGTGTCGACCAGCTGGGGCAACAAGAAAATCGGCGTAATCGAGAGTGACTATTACAAAATAAATCATTATTATATTAATATTGACAATAACAACCGACCGTCGGGGTAGCATTTGCTTGGCATTTCCGGGTATTTCTCCACTGGTTAACATGGGTTAACAATACCGTGTAACTGTCACGTTTGAAGGGACAAAATCGTGACATCTTCACGTCTCCCAGCATGGTAAATCGTCACATGTTCACGTCTTGCCGTGATATCGGGTTGGCCTAAACACATGCATCTTTATAGAGAGGTGCCAGAGCGAAGAGGCTGCTCAAGGACACCTCAAACTGGAACCTTTTCAGCTTCCAGTTTATTTTTGGTCTGACCGGGACTTGAACCGGCAACCCTTCAGTTCCCTACACACTGCTGCCCAAACCGAGACGAGAACTAATGACAGACTTAGATTTTCTCCAGACTTACAGGACCCAATAAAGACACAGGTCCTTGTATTCTTCTAAAAGGGACCATAGTTACCAAAATGAACATCGTGCTGTTTTGAACAGGACTTATGAATAGTGTTCTGCCTGATCTGGGGCTCCTGCATAAAAGGAGAACACTGGCCTATTCAAGTTCTGTTCATCTTGTAAATTACATGGATTTGAATGTCATATTAGTAAAAAGGGCATACATCAATGAAAGATGAGGGAGAGTAACAAAGTCATTTCATGTTGTCCACTTCACCTACTCAAGAGGCAGGACAATCATTATTTCCCGAATGCTCTATGGCTTGAAAAAAGCAAATGTATCTAGTTTTCTTTTGTGACCGTCGATGAGAAGAGTAGAGAGAGGAAGACGCATGGGGAAAAGTGGCCGAGGTAAGAAGGAGCAGGAAAGGTTGGAAGGAGCACAGCAACAGAGATGAAAGAGTGGCAGAACATTGAAGAGACTGACAAGAGACAAGAGGTGAGCCGGAGATGGAGTGAGCAATGAGTGGTGAGAGCAGGGGAAGTATATATATTAAAAAAAGCCATATGAAACAAGAAAAAAACAAAGAAACAAAGAGAGGTTGAGGAGGTAAAAATGAGATGGGGGAAACATTTGCAGGCAGCCTTTCAGTCAACCGTAATCTCCTGGGTGTTGGATGTGTGAGAGAGAGAGAGAGAGAGAGAGAGAGAGAGAGAGAGAGAGAGAGAGAGAGAGAGAGAGAGAGAGAGAGAGAGAGAGAGAGAGCGCAATTTTGCAGTGGTTATCATTATCATCACAGCTATAATCATAATCAGGGTAATTCTAGTATGGGGAGATGGAAAGGCGGATGGCAAAGGGTGATGGAGGAGAAAAAAATGTCAGATAGGAGGAACAAGGACATTACGGGGTGTAACCATGGTGAAAGGCGCACGCGGGGAAACAGTAGGTGGATGAGAGTGAAATAAGGACAGAGGGAGCAGGAAACAGAGAGATTGCTAAATGAGAACAAGGCGTTTTTCATTAAATCAGATCACAATTACCAGGTTTACAAAGCCTGTGTAATGTTAGTTTTTAGGGCGCCGCAATGTGATGGCAACTTAATGAAGGAATAATATAATAAGGATGTTTGTTAGGCTCCAGCAGAGAAAGAGGTCAGAAACCCACTCATATATACGTATGACCCTGTGGAAACCACCCTGTTATTACCCAAATTAAAAAACAGAGTTTTTCTTCGGTTTCGATACGCCTTTTTTTACTATCACTACTACTACTATTGACATGGAAAGACAAATACTCAACACACAAAACTGAGACAAACTCTGAAAATGGTTGACTGTTTCATAACAAATAAACCACATGAAAAAACGTATCAAAGGGTACTGGAGAATATTCAAGGCCCTGAATAATTATGCGGTTTAATACTCAGTATTATCCCACAGGACATAACACTGCTAGACTCCTGAGCTTGCACTATTATTATTGTTATAATAATTGTTTTGTATGTGTTTGAGGAACCTGAGACCCTAGTTTTTAATTGCACACCAACACTGTAGCCTTGTATATGATATTAAAACCTTTGAACCTTGTGCTATTCTTTAAGTATGACTATAGTAAAAAAGTGCATAGTAAATAGGAAAAGTGTGTATTTAGTGACAATGGGCCTTTCTCATTTCTCTAATTCACCTCCTCGACTCCTATCCTCGTGTCTTAGTCCCGCCCACAGGAGATGCGAGCGGAGGAGTCGAGGAGGGGAACCGAGGAGAGAGGAGGGGAAGCAGCAGGCGGTTGGAGAAATGAGAAATCCTCTCCTCTGAGCTGTCACTTTAAAGAGACGTCCATTATTGATGAGAGGAGGCACAGCCCTCTGTCTGATGGAGATATGCCCTAGAGACCTTCCTCGATATTAGCCTCGCCTTGTGACTAACCCAGGAGGCGCGCTACGAATGAAAGGCCGTTGTCACTACAAATTTTCTCAACTGTCGAGACGGGGTACGTAGGGACCGTAATAGTAAAATAATTTGACGAAAAGTAGCGGCGCGTTACAAATGTCACTCTTGTCGGCACTCCCAGGCGACGGTCTTTCGGTCTCGTCCACAGGTAGGAGGTAGGTAGAAGAGGGCGGAATAGGCACGCAGCCCAGTGCCCCGCATCGTCCAAGGTCGCCTCTCGGGGTTTAGAGAAGGAAAGGGAACCGGTGTAGCTGGTCGAGACCTGACCGCCCCACCCCCCCCGGCCTAGGTTCCCCGGCGAGGGTCCGGTCGGGCTTCGTCGTAATAATTAGGGAGGCGGACCAGGATCCAGATGGAGGAGGCATAGGAGGGTCTGCCTGCACCGGAACAATTGTGGAGGGATCCCTCCGCCGGTCCCCACCGGTAGGGAATGATCCAGACGCGGCTTGGTGGAGTTGACGCGGAGGAAGCTTGTGCTTCGCTCCCCTCGCCAAGTTTCGAGGCCTCAGGGGAAGGACCTAATCGACTTGAAAGGATTAGGGGTCCGGTGGGACGCCCTCTTTTGTGGGTAGAGCGGCGAACATGGGCGGCTAGAGCAAGAAAGCGCAGTACTGGGTAGGAAGTACTGGGTATCCACTCCCATCCTTGCTTTTTACCAGGGCCAACTGTCTCTCGGAAACGGAAAGACGGCGAGTCGACGAGAAAAGCCAGTGTTGGCCACGGCCATTTCGCTGACGTCATGCGCGAGGGCGGACGAGGCTAAAGAAGGCCGGGGGTCGAGTGCGGAGGTAAGCAAGGGAATGAGCTCTTGTTCTGGGGTTCTATTGACTTGAGGACAGTGAACGCCCATTCCTGAGTAAGGCGACTTGAACCCGTCACCTGTCAGGTAGCCAAAGGAAGTCTCGGACACCACTACTTATATATAGTGAGTCGTATTGTCCGGCATGTAATGAGAGACATAAACATACGAAATCAAATCATCTATAGATGTTTGTTTCTCCACTGAAAAGATTCCTGGTACAATGACCGAAGTTATTACTTTTATGTGTTGCCGTTCATAGGACTATATATAATATACGATTCCTCGACATCCACCACACCATGTCACCCACACACGACACACACACCGACCACGACACAGACACACACACACACACACACACACACCACACACACACGACACACACACACACACACACACACACACACGCGCGCGCGCGTGCACACACCCGCACACGCATCTACGCCGCCTGTCTGCGCCAGAGTCAAACCAAAACCACAGGATTACGACATGAAAGTTATGATACTAATATAGGTCAGAGACTATCAAAATGCAATAATACTCTCACGAGAGATGAAGACTTTAGCATATATATTTATGTGATTACCACCACACCACACACATATATACAGGCGGTAGACATCGACAATAACAGAGTACATATGGCGTGACAACTTACTTAATTTTCATTTTATATATTCAGCGAGNCAAAGGGTCAAAAGGGGGCCACACCCAGACCTGAAAGTAGTAGTAGTAGTAGAACCTTTATTTATCCGGGAAAATCAATTAAGAACACATTCTTATTTACAATGATGACCTGACAGGAGGCAAAGGCTTCCTGAGGGGATGGGGTTTGGGAGGGAAAAAATAAAAAGATCCGGGCACTACAGAACCGAGGAAACAACACAAACACATAGAGCAAAGATGACAGGCATAGCAGTTAAACATATAAAAACTCTAAAAGAATATTGCTGTGGTTCAATCAGTCATTAAAATCAGCATCAGGAAAAGCAGCTACATGTGTGTACCAGGGTGTCTATAATAGTGACATTGAAGGTGCGGGGGGAGACAAAGGTTTTCATTTTCAACATTGTTTGAATGACATTCCAGCTATCTGCTGCTGCAAATTGAAAAGCGGAGCGGCCAAAGGATGTATGGGCTTTGGGGATCTTTAGCAGAATGCTTGTAGCTGACCGGGTGTTGTGCGTCGGGGGTGGGCGGAGTTGCAGTAATTGTGTGAGGTACAGTAGAAGGGGGTGAGGCCTAGGAGTGTTTTGTAAACAAACATCAGCCAGTAGATGTTGCGCCTGGTCTCAAGAGAGGGCCAGTTAGCCACAGAGTACAGGTCAACATGATACTCAGTTCAGCTGTTTTTGATACAAACAAGGTCAAAACAATTATAATGCTGCACAATCTAAATAGCATGTTACCAGTGTTCAGGTATCTATTTTATGATTTGATCTTAACTTTTTGGTAATTTGTATCCTTCATATTTGTAGTTGACCACAATACTTTTTAGTGCAGTTTAATTCTACAATAAGTCATTACATATTGCATGTGAAAATTGCCAGAGTTGAATGAGGCACGTGTTGTCTTCTTGAACCTGAAATAAAGTTTGTTGACCAATATTTGTCATAGTTTTTGTTATCAAAAACAAATCAACACAGACATGATACTATGTGCTCCCTTTCATTACAGATGCAGTGACTCACCATCAAAGATCTCGAGCTCATCAAACTGACGGCTGGTCTGGAATTGTTCAATAGTGAAGGTGATGTTGTAGCCGGGCTCCACTTTGACCACCCAGGAGCAGGACTCGAAATGTGGGAAGCCGTTGCCTGGTGACAGGCTCATGATGACATCTGTTGAAGCTGTCAGGATCTCATTCATGGGACATGTCACTGTGAGAAAAATAAGACATATTTATTACAGGAGGAAAGGCTTGTTTACATGTAGCTTTCCAGTGTTGTTTCTTACACATATACCTTAACATGGTTTTTCATTGTTTTCTATTTCAGGGAATTTAATTTACATTGAAGCACAAATTGGATCGGTTAGAACCATGTTGTTGTTGGAAGGCAACTCAATGTGACTAAAAGCATCGCTAAGCTAATTTTCATCCTGGTGTTGATGCTGTCGTGGCAAACAAAGCTGTCCAGGAAACGGCTTATACATTATATAAGATTACTCTCTTGCCACGAGCATATTTCCTGCTCTTTGCCCATTGTCAGAATGTGACAGATGTGATGCTTATTAGCCGGCGCACGCTCACATCTGCCTGGGAGTCATATTGCTGTGACACGTCTGGGTGGACCACATACTGTACTCATGTCCTACCCCCTCTGTCACTGTTATTTATTTTGGGACATCTCTATGGCATGCTTTGACATTTCTTATTGGTTTCTGTCTGTATTATCAGACGTTACACAACGCTTCTGTCTGTTGTGCTTTTCCTGCGATGCTGTGAAGCCAACCTCTTAATTCGCCTGCTTACACAGTGGAACCATAATAACAAACTACAACATGAAAGGAAGCCAATGCTGCTATGACAACACAATGCTTTTGCTGCTTTTGAGTTGTTCTCCTTTCTATTGTTTTTTTGGATCACTTAATAGGGCTGAGGTCTAAAGAAAAGGACGGTAAAATAACTCTTAAAAAAATGGGAGATTTTAATTTTCTTGTTTGCATTGGATTGCTTTTAGTTTCCATTCACATACATAAAGCAAATGTTCTCTATTGACTGTTTTATAATGTATATTACTGCTTTCCTATATCACAACGAATCCCAAGGGTCTACTTTGATCAACATCATTGTATGAAAGGTTTTAACACTGAAGCCTTGCTGAAACTCAACCCAGAAGCTGGTTAAGAGCTCTTCAATTAAAAAAAGACCATTTAAAAAAAAACATGGTTATTGTTAAATACCAGCCACTGGCTTTAATTACAAAGCAGAAATAAAAAACAAACAAAGCATAACATTCTGCATGTGTGATTTAAAACCACTTTAAAGAGCACAACACAAGGTGTTTTTTTCATGTACGTATGTTTTTTGTGTGTGAGTGTGTTTGGGCACAAAACATAGCAGGGGTGTAAAGGCCCCTGTTGTGTGCCGCAATTTAAATACTCAAGCCACATTAGCCTCAGGGTAAGGCAGCACTGGAAGGTTTTTTATTACAGTGCTGAAATATTGAATGCTCTGAATTACATTGTAAAAGGGCCATATTTGTAGGACAATGTGTAAACCTTTTTCCGTGTACAAAGTGGATCTGTGCGTTTCTTTCAGTACACATTGGTGTATGTGTTTCTTAGCTTGTTCAACCTCCTTCCTGTGTTTATAGGGGAACATATAATTACATGACGAACATCATGGCAGACAGCCCTGGTAAAGATAATTTGCAAATAATCTTTGGAATTTTAGTTTTTACCTGGCTTGGGCTGTCAAGTAGGTGGGATATATTGCCCCAGGTTTTGTCAGATAGTGTCAGGCAAGCTGTCACTCATAAGCCAAGCATGTTAAAATGAGTCCTGTTCCTGTCAATTTTGCCTAAACTTGTGTCCATTAATTTTGTTTTGTATTAGCCAAAAGAAATGGGGCAACAAGTAGGGCAAAGCAAACGAATAATGTCTGAACATTTTGTTGGCTTTTTAAAATAGTGTAGATAACTGTAGAGAGACTGCAAGCAATACAATGAAAGAAAGACTGGGAATGACATGCAACAAGTGTCCCAAATAGAATTAAAACCCTCCATCCCTAGAGTGCCAAAAGAAAAAATACAACAAAAGAACATATTGAGCTCATGTTGTGGAAGCTAAAGTAGTGGGATAATAATAATCCAAACACAAAGTGGGTATGAGAGGAAAATGCTTTGCCATTTGTGAGCATCATCTCAGAAAATACAATTTCCCCCAGCGTGCACAATGGTAAAAGCCAAAGTAATAGTGCCATTTTGACAGCAAACTATTCCTATCCCACTCTCCGAGTTTGTGAAAACATTTACAACCTCAAGCACCTCAGTGGATGTGAGTGAAAAGGCACTTGATTGCACCGGGAAGTAGCGCATCAAATCTATGAGGAAAGTTTATTAAACTATCAATTTTGTGAGGATGAGATGTGTTTTGATGGTGACCTTTCAGAAAGCTTCAACATGTCTTGAAAACAGCTTTCTGCTTGTCTGGGAGTTAATGGAGGGCGACAGGCAGGGAGCTCTTATCTATAGGTTGCTCCTTATGAAACTAATCCAGTTTGAAAAGAAGCACCACTCTGTTTGGATGTAAACAAAAGGGTATTAGGGGACACATCTGACAGCTGGAGAAAGGCAGCTTCAAGACACAAGGTGAGATCAACCATGATACGGCTCAAAATGAAATTTCGCTTTAACGAGACAAGGATTGGAATAAGCTGGTAGCGGGAACAGCAATCTGTGAGACATCCCTTCTGTTGGTGAATAAATTGTTCAACAGTATGCAACAGCCTCCCGATTAAAAATGCGGCAGAAGGCTTCCTTGCAGACAAGCACAGATGCACACACATCTGCATCCATACATTTGAGCTTTCCAGTGTGGAGTAGTATAGACGCACACACGCATCAATCCACAATACATCAAGCATGTAGCACTGCAGAGCTGTTGAGATGCCTTTACTCATGTTGCTATTTAATTAGCATCATCTGAGGAGCGATAACGAGCTGATTGAAGGGGATGGGCCACAACACAAGCATTAGTGTGGATCAAGACCTCACAACTTGAGGAAGTCAGGGACGACAATGAAGATGAGAAAAAGGGCAATTGTAATCCATTCTGTAGGACAAAAAGAAGGGGGCCGGGGCAAAATAATCTAGGGAACAAAAAGGTGATAGACAGAGAGGCGAGGGGGGACTGAGTGGGATGAAGAAAGCGAGCTGGGAGACTAATGTGATGGGTGATTATGCAGGTTTTAAGCAGAAATCTGTCTGGGGGATAAACACAGGGATTTTGGATCATCAGAGCTCATTGGGTTTCATTAATGAATTCAAGCAACACTTAGTACTGATGCTGTTGCTTTGTGTTTGTGTGTGCGCGCTGCTGGAACTCCCCGCAGTCTCAGCAGCAGATGCAGTTAAGGGCTGTGGGTCCAATACGACCCAGTTTAATCAAATAGCGGGGAAATCAGATAAATCACAACCCAACTGGTTGCTCCGATGGCAGAAACACAACAGAGGCTAAAACCCATTCGCCGTCGTGACTGGAGACACATCTCTGGATTAAATAAAGAAAAACAAGAGTGAGTGTGTTTATGTGTCTTCTGATCCATCTCAGTGCTAGGATATTGATAGATAGCCTTGTGTGAAAATGGGTGACAATATATTTCACTGTGTTGTGAAATAGGCTCAGAGAAAAAAAAAATGAGAGAAGAGGGAATAAAGGGTATATGTGTTACATAAAAACCGAAGTCTGACATTGTGAGTCAGTGGAGGAAAGGGGCGAGTGAGGGAGGGGGAGGAAGGAGTGCAGACAGGGGGGAATGCAGAGGATGAGAGAAGATACCGGCGCTTTGGGACAAGCAACACTGCAGAACTGCCTGTAGACTCCAGTGCAGCTCACAATGAGAACATCCACTGCTGTGTAACGCGGTCACATGACAGGCCAGTGCGTGTGTTTATACAGTGCATGCACGAGTGTGTGCAGTTTAATGTGTATCTTGTGGGGTGCACGTGTCAGAGCTAGACGTGTTGATTTGATAGGTGCAGCTGCAGCCGGCATGTGCCCTGCATTTCAATGAGCTGTGCACTTCGTCTCCTCGCTGCCCTCCATCTAAGTCTCTCCCTTCCTCACCTCCCTTTTTAACTCTCCTGCTCTCACTTACAAGCCACCTTCCTGCTCATTTAGCTCTCTCTATGTTTCAAGAAAAATTTATGTTTGACCCCCTTAAGAATCCTGAGACAAACTGTCCCTCATTCTTCACCGTCCAATCTTCTTCTCTTCCTTCTCACTAGCATCTGTTGCCATACTTTGCTCTCTCCTCTCTTCTCTTGACATCCTCTCTCTCTCCTCTCCCTCAACCAGTCAGTCCATGCAGGCAGCATGACAGCTTGCAGGAAAGAGGAGTATGAGGATGGAATTGTTTGTTCTTAGTGTTTCTCAGCACATACGCACATTCAAAACACAGAGATATGTTTATCTTGGCAAGCCAAAGCTGTAGGCAAATCATTATTTTCAAAATTCAAATAAAAAGTGAAGCGAGTGGTTGTTTCTCTAGCAAAAGTATCAGCTTCAGGTGACTGCAGTAGGTAGAGTGGGAGGACTTCATAGAGGCGAAAATAAACACACACACAAATATAACTTTTTCGCCTCTGTTTCCTGAGTACTTTGTTCCACATCATTACATTACATTACATGTCATTTGTTAGATGCTTTTATCCAAAGCGACTTACATACATTCGGTACTGTGGGCAATCCCCACAGGAGCAATTTGGGGTGAAGTGTCTCAGGGACCCAACGACAGCTGCTGACTGCAGTGGGACTCGAACTTGCTATCCCCTGATTCGAAGTCCAGCACACTAACAACTGAGCCACAGCCCCCACCACCATCATTATTATTACCTTACACTAGGGATGCTCGATTATGGCAAAAATAATAATCTTGATTATTTGGGTCAATAATTGATATCACGATTATCCATTTACTTTTAAAACATCAATTTATTGGAGAAAAATAGTATGTTTTTAACAGTTTATTACCCTGAACTTTAAGTATAAATCAACTGAAAAACCAATACAAAAAAAAAGTAATAATAATAAAAAAATAATAATCGTTTTATTTCGATTACGTTGTTTTCGTAATCGTTGCAAGCCGTAATTGTAATTAAAATAAGATTAATTGAGCAGCCCTACCTCACACATCGCCTTTGTCTCTTCATTTGCCCTCTTTCATTCACCAACTCTGCCTCCTCTTCCATACATTGTATATCTTTCCTAAATAGCACTCAACATGAGTTGCATTTCTGATATTCTACCTACTCTCTCTTCTCACAATCCACCAACAAAGTAATACACAGAATGACAACAACACAGTAAGACAGGGGAAAAAAGATTCAATATGTTTAAAAAAAGGAAACAAGAGAATGAAATATGCTTTTATGATATTAATAGCAGAGAAGTAACTCAGGGACCCCTCGATGCACCCAGTCTCTGGCCCAGAGGAGGAGTTTTGCACACAACATGCAGTGTTATGATCATACGGTGTGCTGGGAACACTGCACTCATTGATTCTTCTGGGAGGATCATATCTCAGCATGTAGTGAGCCACACAGAAGCCAGGCTCAGCCTCATGGGAGCCAAGTATCATCCACAGAGAGAGAAAGTAGTGCCTACATTATATGTGGCTGCAGCTTCAGGACTACACGCAGAAAGATTACCCATGGGAGTAAGAAATAAGGCAAACTAGTGCATGAGCCAATGATTAGGGGTAAAATGATACTGTCACACTATAACCCTGCTGGAAATAAACTCGCTGAGAGTGGCTTTGGCAGAGGGAGACACAGTTTCACCTGCGTTTGGATATGTTTATAACAAATTGGAAGCAAAGAAGTGCCAGAACAGCAATTTCAAATCATTGACTAACATTTGCTCACTTAAATGGTAGAGCTGCTGTTCGATAAGCTGATTTATATCTTTACAACATCACACATAAATAAAGCAATGAAAACAAAGATAAGATAACTTTAGAGACTTTTGAACACCAGAATTAATTTAGCATGTAACCAATTATCACATTGTACTTGAACTAATCAATGCTTTTACAGTGTTTGTTTAGAGCAGAGATTATTTGGAGAAAAGCTGGATAATGTAATATTACATTTAGCCAGAAGGGTTAGCGATATCAATGTGTGAAAAGAGGGAGTTAAAGGCTCTAGGGTCACAGATTAGATCCCCAGGCAGGCAGGATAATTGTTGGTAGTGAAATTGAAAGGGCAGTGCCTGCTTCTTACATCCTACCACCGATGAGGAGCCCGTGTTGAGAAAGGCCCTTGACCATCACCCCTTGAAGAGGAGCTGCTCTGCGGCAAACTGAGTGTGTGAATAGGGCCTTTCTGACGAGAGAGCATGCCATTCCCTGGATAAGTGTTTAAGTTTTTTTCAAGCCTCAGGCTTTAACTCACCATCACATGAGGGTGGAGGCCCCTCAAACTCCAAGTATGTCCCCAGCCGGCAGGTCTGGATGCTGTTTCCACTTAAATGGTAGCCTGGAAGACATCTGTAGCGCACTATATCCCCTGAACAGAGAGAGATGGAGGAAGAGGAAGAACAGTTAATGACAGATCGGAGATGGTGGAAACAATATATCTGATTGATACCACCTAACATGTCTTTATACACTAATCAGCACTCCTTAGCTGGGATACTGATTCGAGGTAATAATTTTTCAAGTAACTCAACTCTAACTCACTCACTCAGCATCATCAAGAGGCGTTTACAATATCCCCTGCTGTGGAAAAAACTCTCTTGCTTGGTACTGACGTTGGTGGGACAGAGAGATATGCTTTGGGCAGTGGGTAAAACTGTGCATTGTCTCTCCACCACTTCAAAAACAATACAGTTTTTGCCAAGAAGGTGAGGCTTATAGACAGGGCGAGATATAAACATACTGTTGGTACTTGTCAATGTCTCTAGGTATGTACATGTAGCCCTGTAAATACGATGTCCTTTTGTGTTATCTCTTGTTTTATGTTCATGTTGTAACCTACTTGCTGCCATGTTGGACAGGTCTACCTTGAAAAAGAGATCAATGATCTCAATGGGACCATCAGGTTAAATAAAGGTTTAAAAAAAAAAAGATTCTTTAAAAAAAAAAATCGCGGTAGATTTTGTCAGTCTCACGACGGTATTGAGACATTTATTTACCGCGATATCGCTATTTTCCATATATCGTTACATCCCTAGTAGTTTGTATGAAAGTTGGTGATCCTGGGGCAACTTTCAAGCCAGAATAAGAACCGAAAGAGGGATTCAATATTTAAATTGCTTACATTCCAAAAGTCAGGATGGGTCCAACGTCTAATATAAACAAAGTCAAGGGTGCCTAGTTAATATCTGTGTCTACATATGTATGACTATGCATTTTTGTGACAGCTTCCACCTACCTATTTTAAACTCTTTGCTTGCCATTAGGATCTCTGCATTAGGGATGATGGGAGGAGGCAGGCAGAACTGCAGTCTGTACGCTGTATGGAGAGAAACAAAGACATGAAGTGAGTCAAACACAGAAGCTATATGGTACAGATAACGCTCACTTGAGAAGAGTACATTACATACCTTGATAGCTGATTTGGAATAGTCCACCCTTCTCCGTGTTACTACGGAAACGAATGAGCAGCTGATTGGATGTGCTGCTGGGCGGCTCGTTGGGCTCGCCATCAGTGAACACTCCCAGTTTCCTGGCTGTCTCCAGTGGACCATCCCTAAATGAAAAATAAAAGGTCACAGGTAAGCTATCCAACATTAAACTGTGATGATAATTATCCGTGGGGACTTTATGTCAGCAGCCTCTGCAGAAATGCTCGCTCTGTCTCTAACCATAAAGAACCTTGAAGGCTCTGTGACGCAGTTCTTTGAGAAAAAGCAAACAAAGCCAGATGCCAGATTATGTATAGAAGCTTCCAGCAGCAGAGTATAACCAAGCTGCTCTCACTTCATCATACCCAAAGCAATTACTCTGGGCTGCTCAGGGTGATTATGTTGAAATAAGGTAAAAATTACAGATAAGCGTGGAATGACAGGTCTGGATTGCGCTGTCCCTGCTAACTGCCATCCAAAGGGAGTGTCTTTGGAAGCGGTGGCCCAGCCTTGGCAGTCCCATGGCGTGGGCACGGCCGATTAAGCCGGCTCCCAGATTCCTGCCACAACCATTCAGCTTAAAAACCATCTGTCTTTGGCTGTCAGACTGGGCATGGGAGATTACAAGCAGCTCTGGAAACGGCTGGCTAGGGACTGCTGCCTGACAGCACTGTGGCCAAGCCGCCATTACTGGGCCCATTTCCTTGGCTCAGTAGTTCAGTGGATAGATACACAGCGGTGGTAACTGAAAACTGGGGATCATGATAGTCCCCATCTTGGCTCTGCAGGAGCTTGTTGGGGAAGAGCAGGACGGGGGGCTTTACAGAAGATGAACAATAAGCTTTAAAAGGGTACATTTTGGTCTACTTTAGCTATGTCGTCAAAGTGATACAAACTCTGCATGAAATATTCACACACATTTCTATAAGCAACCCAGTCCGTAAAACATAGATGTCATTCAACGCCATGTGGACTTTCATTTGGTCGTCAAGTAGCCAGCTTGGTTGGCAGTCAGATCTCCGGTGTCACTGAGAGAGGGGACCTTTGGAGCTCATCTCGGGAGAGGGGATCAACTGGGACTGGCAACCGTCATGCATGCAAAATCCTGTCTTTGCTCGCACATATGGCAGGCCCAGCCGTGTGTTATGGAGATTTAACCCCTGATACTCAGTCGGGGAAAATACACAGAACTATCAGGTAAACATCCTGACACAAACATTAGCACACACAGATTTATACAAGCCAAAGCTTACTCTATGTTTTTTCTCTAACACAAAAGTGGGAACTGTATTTCACAAACTGCTCTGATTGGCTAACATACATGACATGTTGCTGAAAAACATTTTCTTTTCATTGAAATTGCAAATAAAAAGACCAAATGAAAAACCTCACAAATTCCTTATCCTACATTTGTATAGATATTGATGTGGTTGAAGATTCATTAAAAACTACTTCCAAATAAGTATTTTTGAGGAGCATGATAAGAAAACCAAGGACACACATAAAACAAAAATTGAAAGCCATAGATGTGACAGAGTTGAGCTTTCGATCCGCAGATCTCTTACAACTGTAATAAGGTGAGGGCCACATGTAGTGGGAGGACGAACTGTACCTGTTAGTCAGAAAACAAGCTGTGGATACACTTCAAGAGGAAAGTAAATGAAAAGAGAGAAATGGGCAGTAGAGATCAGCTTATTGGAGCCTGATTCAGCAACACAACAAAGGTGGATATCACAGGAGAAAAAAAGGTGTACCGGGTAGAGAAGCCTAAGTGGGTGACAAGGAGATGAAGGATGGGATTGAAAAACAAGTCAATGGAGGTGATGATAACGAGAATATTGAACCCCGAATAAATAAATAAATAAACATTGTAACATTTCAACGTTGAAGTACAGGGTGCCACATTTCTTTTAAATGGACTTGGTCTGCTCACTAGAGAAATTGATCAAATACAATTTAACCTTACCCACAGGCAGAAAGGAAGTGTATCTGAAATGTCAAGGTAATTCCTCACCAGACAGTGATGAAGTCGTGCGGCCCGTGAACCTGAAGCAGGGTGAAGCTGACTTTGATGCCGAAGCCAGGAGCCACGGTGATCAGCCAGGAGCAGTCTACTGAGTTGGGGTACTCCTCTGGGTAACCCGGGGAGAAGATGGTCCCATTGTCTGATGTGATGTTCCAACCACAAGGCACTGGGGGAGGGAGGAAGGGAAGCAGAGCGTATATATATATATCAGGGGGCCAGGAATACAACAGGACATATCCGTAACTCAGATGCATTTGGTCAGAAAAATGAATTATCATCCCCATTTTTTGCTTTCCATCTCAGTGTCTCTTTCTTTGCTCTTCGTCTAGCGCCCAGGCACTTGTCTGAGCTAAAGATTAGCCAGTAAAGCCTGTTAGCAAGTGGGGACTTGGATGGAGTGTTTTGCTAAGATAAGGCCTCAACCCATTCCCACTGGGGGTGAACAGAGAGAGCGCAGAGATGAGGCGAGGGGTTAGACTGGCATTTAGACGTGTGTGTATACAGTATGTGTTTGAGGAATGGATATGCATCTAAATGTGTAAACTTGTGTGTGAGTAACAGTTAAGGTTAAAACAGCATGTCTGTGTCAAAGCTGAAAACATGAGAGCATCATAAGTTCATATGCAAAATATCCTGAGGTTAAAAATATCCTGAACAGCCTGACAAATACAGTAAAACTCGCTCACTCGCGTACAAACTATATATACCCTGCACCCAGCCTCAAAACAGCAGCTTGCAGAATAATTATAACTTTATTTCAAACATTCCTCAGGAACTCAGGAGGTTCTAAGCAACTTAACGATTACGAAGCTTAACATCCCCGCTGGTGCCCTCAGAGAAACCCCATATTCACTGTGGTGGAGCAGGGAACAATCAGGAAGGAGTTGTAATCACAGCAGTGCAGGCATCTCAAGCAACCCAGACCGGGTATTCAGCATAACGGCACCATATAAAGCCTATAAGTATATGATAATTCCAAGAGCAGAGTGTGAATGTTTTGTTACTTTGTCTCGCTCAGGTTATGTTTGTGTTCATGTCATACAGCGGCCTGCTTTAGCTCGATGGTAGATAGGCCCCTCTACTGCAGGACCTGTTAAATGAGCTATCGATCAGACCCATTGATTAAACCCCGGACACTCTATCGAGTTGCACATCTGGCTGAAGCCATCAGCTGGCAAGCTACTTAAACCCTATCTGTAGAATTGTGTGTTTGCTTCAAGGGTAAGGTGGCATCAGAAAACTTCAGAAAGGGTTGCAATTTATTTTTCAAAATGCAAAACAAGTCAAATATGATGTCTGGGAAAAGATATGTGAGCTTTCACATGGTTAAGTTAATCATATCGTGTGAATCATAATATGTTTAGTCATATCATGTGAAATGACTGTCTGAAAACTGGGCAGCTTTACAAAATGTCTTTGTCAGCCTCTCCTTTTCCACAGAGACCAGGAAAATAATAGTTATTCCGCAGCCATCTCTATGAATATACAATTCATCAGATACGTATGTTTCTATACAAACCGTTCTACAATATAAATAGACAGAACAATGGAAAAGGGATAATGAAGAAGGCAGACTTGTGACAGCGGAGGTTGAATGCAGACAGAAGTGGAAACAAAGAAACAACAGAAAATAGTTCAGTGCCAGCAACATTGTATTATCATCATTATTGAGACAAGTAGCTAAGTGGAAGCAAGCTAAGAAAAATCAATGTCTCTCAGCCCCTGAGACAGTGCAAATAATGTAGTGAAAGGAAACTAAAGGGCAGGATATACTGAGCTGTATGGGGTCAAATGAAGGTGTTACAACATGGTCTGCTGACATGTAATGCAATAGCTGAGAGCAAATAAGCTCAATATGTCTATTTTATAAAAGAAAATAAACTTATGCTGATAACGACTGATAATATCTGTAAAATAAATCGGTATTACGAATTGTGAGTAAATGTGCCATCCTGAATGACTTATTGTCCCTGTTAATGGATACATGAGGTACCAACTTGTACATGACTTTGACAAGCACCCAGGTATGAATTTTCTGTTCTGAACGCACAGTGAATAACGAAAAAGGCCACAAAAGAGAATGATTGCCTGGAGTGACATTAAATTCTTACTCCTTTTTCCTTCTTCCTTTTCACTCTGAGCCGTGTGCAACCTTACCCATCCCTCTCGCGTTTATCTCTATGCTCCTCCATTTGAAAAGTTCCAGGTGTCACGCGCCATGCACACCTCCCTCTGTAATTTCGTCTGCCGTATTGAAATAATCGACAGCCAGGCGTGTGAATGTGGGTCAGGACGAGGCGAAAGAAAGGAGCACTCATTACTTTTCTTTGTAATTCAGCCCCCTCTTTTATTCAATTTCTATTATTTGACTCCATTTCTCTTACGCACAGTATTGATTTTCACTGCAGACTACTTTGCTTCATTAATGGGGATGATAATGCTGTTTAATTGCATTATTCATAATAGATAATCATAATGTCCATAGCCGCTATTTGCACTAATGATGCCAAATAGCTCAATACATTCTAAACAGGAAGTCATTAACTGGTGGGATTGGTAAATGTGTGAAATGTCCATAATGTGCGGCTATTAAAACGACTAATCTGAATTCTCTCACCTTCACATCGAGGGAAAGGGTGATCCCAATTTCGTGTGGTGCCATGCTCACAGGTGAGGATGGAATGTCCCATTAGCAGATAACCGGGCAGACACTCAAAGGAAATGGACTGGCCCACGTTGAAGCCAGCCCCCACCACCACTCCGTACCGGAAAGGCTCTGGATCCAGGCACTCCTGAAGCTCATAGGCTGAGAAACAGAACAGCATGTATTTATTTATCCAATCGATTCACAGATTTGTATTCAGTCCTTTAGTAAGCATGTTTTTGCCACTCTTATCTTGTTATGACCTGAAGCTAGAATCAATCCATAAAACATTCAATGTTTTGCCTGCTAATGCGCGGCTTCCAGACAATGTAGGTGTTACAGTGGAGAGTCCTCTTTCCCAATTTTCCAACTTGAATTTCCCTTCCTCATCTTGTGCTAAACCTCCCACTCACTCCTCCTCATCCTCCTACTCCTTTTGAGACTGGAGTTTTCAGAGAGAAAGAAAATGCCAGGGGCGGGTTTGACTTAGGCCGGAGTAGTATGATGCAGTCATCAGAAGTAGTGTGGGTAAATAATTCTTCCCTTTCTCTTCTTCTTGGATACAAAAGCAAAGCAGGCAGTGAGCCTTGAAGAGCCAGGATATAAATATGACTAAAGAAATGGATTTCTATGGATCACAGCTTCCCTTTGTAGGAGATAATTCGTGCAAATACTGCGAACGGGGGGTGTTTCCAAATATAATGCTTGATTTATATGCTAATGTACACATCATTATGTAAATGCACAATTCTACCTTTCCATTTGCCGGCTCGTTTGTTGAATCGCAAAACACAAACTTTGTGTGCCTGTTGCATTTGCAGACGAGGGGGATTTACTCTTTGCGGTTATGTAGATATGCAGTGAAGCCTTTTATTGGCAGATGCTGCGGAAATCTTTTAAGTGATCAAGAGTTTTATATACAGGTTTATAGATATGTGGAATTGACTGGCTCTGTGGGCAGATTAGTCTGACACCATCAGCTCTAGGGCTAATTCAGTAATGTGTTATGGCTTTACAACGCTTACACCCTACAGTGAGCCGACACATATGGATAATAAGTGAACACGAAAGAAAGATTATTATATATCGTTCTGTTGCCACAATTGTAATTCACCTTGGTGACTTTACGGTGTAACTAGCTGGACTCAAAGTTATTTTTTCTGCACTTCCGCTTAAACACACAAGATAATTTGAAGCTGCCAAAAACATCCAGTCACACTGAAGTAATTACTCAATTGATGAAGCTTTGCAAGAAGAAAGTAACTCATAATACTGATACGGGCTCAGCTCTGCAAGTCTTCGCCATGGTGATTATGATCATTATTATAAACATACATTAGCAAAGTCTAATTTTATCTGACACAATCCTGGGGCTGATCATAATTTCCTGCTTCAATCTTCAGCATCTTTTACCACCTTCCCTACACATTCCTCTTGGTCTCTTACCCTGGTACTCAAATCTGAACCCCGGTTTGTTCTGTGAATGGTCGCTGTGGAAATATATTGTGGTCTCGTGGGAGGTGGTGAGTAATGAGGAGGGAATATCCTGGCCGCTGAATCGGCCAATCACTGCGCTCGTATCAAGGGGCCCATTGCGTATCTCGAGGAAATCATGGTTGGCCTCAGTGGAGAAGTTGAGGAACTGAAGGTTTGCTCCTGGGGAAAGAACAAAGACATTTTTTTAAGAAAGAAGTGAATGGAAAAGGCAATGCCATTCTCCTACTAAAGTACTACTAAGGGACCCCTGGCACAGGCTCTCAGATTAGGTTTCTGCGTATGTAAATAGTCTGCAAAGGCTACAATCCCCGTGTTCCCTCCAGAGGAAGTTTCTATCCAACACACTCCCCCATGCCTCCTACAGTGGACACCTTTGTTCACTACTTGACTTTTATCACTATGAAACACTTGCACTTCTTTTGGCTAGCGCTCCAACAGATTGTACATGATAGGTTAAGGGGCGGGACATCTCTAAGCAGTGGACCAATCACATCAGTTGGCCATCTAACCATTCAGAGCAGACTGGGTGCTGCAGTATGAGAAAAGTAAAGACTTTTTTGAACAATAACACATTTAAACATGTCACAGTGGAGCCACAATTGACATATATGAAACCTGAAAATGAGCATAATATGTCCTCTTTAAATTATCTACCACTACCAATGTTGTCACTCTCCAACACTACAGTTTGCAAAATTAAAAGTTTTCGAGTTTGGAAAAAGAGCCTCTCACGACACTCACCGTATCCAACTGGCAGGTATATTCTCCAGGTACAGTCACCGTTGCTAGGATAGTTGCCAGGGAAACCAGGGCTGAGAATCATACCCTCATTCTCCTCCCTGATTCCTCCACATTGAGCTGACAGAGGGCAGACAAAGCATTTATTAGCATGTGCAAAAACGGATTCTCACACATTTAAATAATACTATACATAGTACAATATGTTTTTATGTTTGTGAAATAAAAGTCTTAAACCACAATGCCACCAGTAGAAACATTGTTGATGACTTTATATGAGTAAAGTTAGGTCTAGTAAGCCCATTTAAAAAACACAACATCATTGATTAAATAGTTAAAGGTGGGGTAGGTACGTTTGAGAAACCGGCTCGAGATACACTTTTTGTTATATTGGTCCATATGCACGTTCGTGTGTGTGTTGGAGGAGGGGCTCTGTAAGGAAGTGGAAGATTTCTTCCGGCTGTGTATTTTCAAATTCTAGCACACTCGAGCGGGTTTCTCCAAAATTACCTACCCCACCTTTAAGAGCTCTTTTCTTTTTGACTCGAGAGTCCATACAATTTATTTCGCTGCTTTTCATTCCTTTTGCTTTCATATTAAAACCATTGATGGGTAAATGTTTTCCTGACTGAAGTGAGTAAAACCAATGAACGACGAAAAGAGGGAAAGACCCCCCTGAAACCAAAAATAAAAAGATGAAAGGATGGAGAAACTAATGTTAAAAGAATTAGCTGACTTAAGGCAAAGAGGTACTGCAAAAGGGGAAAAGCAAACACAGTGGAGTAGATTAAGAAATGAATGCCAGCATAAGTCAGGGGAGGGAGAAACCACTCAGAGAAAATCAGGGTGTTGTATCGTTGTGTTTCTGTTTGAAAAAAGTCAGCGGTTAAATGTTATCCTGTAGCAGCACCGAAAGCTTAAAGTTAATCAGGAAACTGCTGATGCCTGTGAACACGATGAATCTTCCCTCGACTTCAACCAATCACAGTCTGAGATGGAACTAATTAGGCAGTGGTAGGTTGTTCCAATAAGTTGAAAAAGGCAATCTCACTCTCAAGACTTTAGGTGCAATATAGAAAGGAAGCTAATGCAGTTACATTCAGTGTGTACGCTCAGCCTTCAGGGTGGAAATATGAAACTCATTTTAAAAGTGCAAAAGCTTCCAGGAACACATACAAAAAGACAAACTAGTGAACCAATGCTTTTTTGTTTATCTCAAGTATTTTCTTCATTTTCTGATAGACTACCGTAATTTTCGGACTATAAGGCGCACCTGAATATAAGCCGCAGCAGCTAAATTGAATGATGTGTACATAGATAAGCCGCACTGGACTATAAGCCGCAGGTGTTTTAATGTTTAATTACCATATGTAAGGGTTCGTGCACAGAGGGGATTGTCGGGAAAGAGAGGGCTGTTTGAGGAAGCTCCCATTTATTAACATTTCAACAAACAAGTTGCATATTTGCATAACTTATGCAAATATGCAACTTGTTTGTTGAAATGTTAATAAATGGGAGCTTCCTCAAACAGCCCTCTCTTTCCCGACAATCCCCTCTGTGCACGAACCCTTNGAAAATAAATACCTCACGATGTCTATCTAATTATGAACTTGCTTTACGTTCACGGAACACATTTTTGGTGATAACAAATGCAACAAAGTAACATATTTACCAACACATGTTCTACGCCACTACATACTTACATTCAAATGTGTTCTGCGTCGGTTCAGCCATTCTCCGCAAGGGTTTTTGAAATTGGTCCAAGCGCAAAGCATTGTGGGGATTTTAAGGACGCGAAGTCTACCCATGTGCAGCCTCGAAATTTCCCCCAAAC